GACATGAAACAGAGAACTGCAGGCCACTGAGCTCTCAAGGGATCAAGTTATTTATACGAAGAGCGGGAAGGGAGAAAGACTAATTTAGTTCACAGTATTAAATGGAACTAAGAAAAAATAAAAGTTTTTGTGCAGCCAGCCTAGATTATTTTTACTAATCTGCTATAGTCGTTTTCATAAAATGTTTAATTATAGCAAGACACAAGTTTAATAATATTTAAAAGTAATACAAAATTAGCCAGTCCAAGATTCCAGATCCAATACATGCCAGTTCTGTGAAGAGTCTGGTTTTTGTTTTGTTTCGCTTTGTTTTGTTACAAACCAAGTTGAAAATAGAGCAAAGAGCTTGCCAAATTTAAAGCGTTAGAACTCCTTAGAAAAAGAAACGAAATCATGCATATCTCACACTTAGGGAATTATTTATTTCCAGCATAAAGACTCTGGAGACTTAGGAGTAATTCTCCTGGATTCTCATGTGAATGTACCTTTCCCACTAAGCACTACTACCTAGTTATTTCAAGTGAGCAAATATTACTATGTTTATGAGACTAGACGATTCACAAAGTCAGGCTGTATATACATTAACTTTTTAGATGTTCATCACATGACCTAGTAGAGTAAAAGACTCTATGAAAACTTCATTAATACGGTTGAATTGACTAAATTTCAAGGAAATCCTTTATAAATCACTGATTGTGATGTAACTATACTTTATTACAGTAGCTAAAATATGATTTTTTAAAACTTATTTATTTTTATTTATTTTGAGACAGAGTCTCGCTTGTCACCCAGGATGGAGTGCAGTGGTGTGATCTTAGCTCACTGCAACCTCTGCATGCCGGGTTCAAGCAATTCTCCTGCCTCAGCCTCCCAAGTAGCTGGGACCACAGGCGCACGCTGCCACCTCTGGCTAATTTTTTGTGTTTTAGTAGAGACGAGGTTTTGCAGTGTTGCCCAGGCTGGTCTTGAATTCCTAAGCTCAGGCAATCTGTCCACCTTGGCCTCCCAAAGTGCTAGAATACAGGCGTGAGCCACCGCACCCAGCCTCTAAAATATGCTTTTAAAGAGTATTTTTTTCTCTTATTTTGAGCCACATAACTGCATAAAATGTGATTTAATAATTCTTGCACTGAACAATATTAATGATTTTTCTTGTTAGCTGAGAGTAGTACTTCGATCATTGGGGTTTATAAAACCCCACTAAAAATATATGCTCACTTCTTCCACCCAGTCAGATAAATAAGCAATAGTATTTGATCATACTTTCAAATACAGTTAAGGTCCACAATAGTTCAGCTAGTTCTCCTTGGTAGTAATTGCATGAATTCTTAAAATTCTGTGTTTTATAAATACAACAAAAGCAACAGTTGAGGAAAAACAAAAACGCATTCTTTGAAATTAACTACATAGAGTTTACTAAAAACTAACAAATATATATTAGAGATTAAGTTTCTCTCCTCCTCTGCAATGATTATATCCTTATATTCCTAAGGTAGAAAAGTCACTGCAAATAAGAAAGAATTTGATTTTAAAGTTTTAAGCCATTTTGTGAAGTTCAGGAATTCTGCAGATCAGAAATTCAAAAAGCGTTCAGCAAGGATAACTTTTCCCTCTTTGCAATGTCTGTTGCCTCGGCTAAAAAGACTCATATAACGGGGAGCTGGAATCATCCACAAGCCTGTTCACTCTCACATATGGCATCTCAGCCAGGATGAACTCCTGATCGCAAGCCAACCCTCCCGAAGGGTTGGAATTATGGTGTGAGCTACAACACCTGGTCTATTTTAAGATTTAGTTTGCTAGTATTTTTTTGAGGATTTTTGAATCTATGTTCATCAGGGATATTGGTTTGTAGTTTTCTTTTTTTGTTGTGTCCTTGTCTCATTTTGGCATCACAGTGATACTGACTTCATAGAATAAGTTAGGGAGCATTCCCTCTTCTTTAATTTTTTGGAATAGTATCAGGATTAGTAGTATTAGTTATTTATATGTTTGATAGAATTCAACTATGAATCCATTTGGTCCTGGGCTTTTCTTTGTTGGGAGACTTTTT